AAAACATCATGTGATACAAGAAACTTTTCATCACATTCTTCATCTGCGTGTTTCCGTAGTTTTAACATGATAGTATTTATATTGATTGCACTGTGTATAATAACAAACAATGAAATTCGATGTCTTCTAATTTCTAGGGTTGAAACTGTATGGAATTGACAATATACTGAAGCCACAGAGACATTTAAAATAGGAAATGTTAGATTACAAATGCAGAAGATGTTGCTATTATGCATTACCACACCTTTTATTAAAAGTTCAACCAATAATGTTGATAGCTAAAAATGTTCAGATAGCAAAGAATACAGATTACGCAGTAAGCATTGTACAGAAATGAACATCCATACCTTGCAAATCATATTCAAATCATAAATAAATTTTAAATTATCCAATGACAGTAAATTAATAAATAATGAATCAAAACTGAGTGATATGAGTGTGTTGATTCTGTAAATAACATAATGCATTCGGACTCGGTCAGTTAAAGGAACATGGAGTAATGGGATTTAGAAACTCGCGTTGTGCTGAATGCAATTGTGTTATATGTATCTGCCGAGTCAAGATATCACATACGATAATGAAGTTATCGTAGTATTCTCGGTATATGATTCTCTCTCAACCCAATAATGGGGGTAATATGAGTCAATACGAAGCTGCTTACAAGATTGTGCCTGATTGGCTACCTAACCATAACACCTAACAGTTAGACCAATCAGAGAGCAGCTTATATGTTGCCATGTTTTTGGCGTATCAAATCCTGTCTTGTTAGAAAGTTTGGCATTTTTATTTTCGATTGACCCGACCTATATCCGCAATTGTATCTCCAGGCAGTCTACCTCACAATGTACTACTCATTAAGATAACTGTAAATAGAGTGTATATATAGGTAAACAGTTCACTGGATTAGTTTTGCGTGTGTACGCGTACTTTAAACTCAGAGATAGCAACTGAATTGGTGATTCTAATAAGTCAACAACAAAAGTCAGTAAATAAATATTCACTATTTATCAGTGTTAAAGGACGCATTTTTTTCCTTTTTGTTGTTGTTAAACGGGCTGTTCGAGATATTACATACACATCCTGGTGGCGCAGCTTTAAAATGACATCATTAAGGTGTATATTACTGCCAAGCATGGACAGGGGAACGTTTGGGCATATCCCTCTAAATGCACTCCTGTGAAATAATATGTCATTTCTAAGGGAGTTTGTAATAAAATATAGCTGCAAGCAGCAATGATAGGTTTGCGGTCTATAGGCAGTTGCACCCGATTGATGTAAACATGTCAATCGTTGTAGGAGACACACCCACAATCAAGCAGTTAGTGTATGTAATGTTTTCTTTATATTTAATATATTGCCAATCGTGTGTATGTTAATATTAGCGTAGTGTTGGTTAAAAGTGACACCTAACCTTACTCTTCTGATGAATGTAAGCCTTATATATGTGTGGTAGCATATCCGTACCTATAATGGTTTTATTGTGATCACTTGTATGCATATCAATGAGGTCACATGACCATCCAAGAGATTAGTACATTCTGGCTCACATATGATATTCTATGCTATTTCTCGCTTCAACAGGAAATGTTGTTAAAGTAGTTGCTCATAATGATTAATATATATTGTAAAATACTTTATTTTCGTGTAAGAAGAATAAAAAAATGTTTGCAACGGGATTTCAAAACTGAAGTAGGCGGTTTTTCATTGACCTCTATACAGTATCGCTACAATCACCATAACATGATGCTGCAATCATTGGTACCCGACTTTTCAGTGTAAAATACACAAATACACAGCATGCATCGGTCGCCATGTCAAAAAGTGCGTTGTCTGGCCATGGTCAGTAACCTCATTTAGGGCATTCTATGAAAAAGATATTTCAAGTCTGGGTTCGTCTAATTTTTATCGACCATATCGTCTGCAGTTAAAGTAGTTTCCTTTTCAATGCGACATCATTTAAGATTTGGTTTCTGAATTTGACATTGCGTATCACTAGCGATTGAGTAGTAAACACAGCTATAATATCAACAAGTTTCCGTTGCCTTTTTTTCCGCTGAATCACTAACTGTAGGTCGACCACGTTTACCGGGCATGACGAACTCACAAAAACATACACATGATTAAAACAATCAAAGAAAGCTTAGGAAGAACTCCCGTGTGCTGAGAGTATTGGAGACACATTAAAATTAATTCAAAATTTAAGATTTACATTTCAAACGAGAAGCTTAGCAACTAATATTTGTCTGCTATTACGATGCACAACATGAAAACAATGTGATTCACATTATCAAAATTTATAATACATACAGAAAATGCATTTGATTTTTCATCCATGGTTTTTTGTCTAATTAATTAGAGTACCTCTATGATGAGTTCAATCTAAATTTGATTTTTCAAGATATCAGGAATAGGCTTATAATAGATAAACAATCTGCATGTTTATCAACATTAAACTAATCACGTCTGTGGACTGCCTCAATGAACCAAATGAATTATTATACAAAATAAACAATTATTATGCATAGATTTAGTTCTTTATATTGTTTCAGGGCGCACATGTTCAAAGTTTCATTACAATGTGATGATCAATCCTAACTAAATTAGTGGAAAACTGAAAAGTAAATTGTTATGCAAAATAGTTGATTATTATAAATGTATATAAACCTAAAACTAATTAGATCATCACATTATGTTAGAGTATATATGTAGTTGAAAATTGGCTAATTATGCAAATTAGGTAATTAATATACACTGCTTTCAACCCAAAACTAATCAGGTCTGCGAATTGTCCTAAAACATCTATGTACCAGGATTCATTGAAATGGGATAATTAGTACTTACGATATCAGTCTAAAAGCTGAAAATTAACTAATTATGCAAACTAGTTGATTAATATGCACACATGTTTACCCAAAACTGCATTGTTATTGAAACGCTATGTACCAAGTTTCATTGAAAATAATGAAGTGATAGTACTTGAAATATCAAAAACTAAAAATCCATTAATTATGCAAATTAGGTAATTAATATTTCATATATCTGTCTGTGCATTGTCCTATGTATTTATGTAAGTTTCATTGAAATGTGATGATTAGTATCTGATATATCAGTGGAAAAGCCGAAAATTTATTAATCATTATGCAAATTAAGTTAATTATATGAAAGGATTTTTACCCAAAACTAATTAAATTTGTGCATTAGTCCAGGGCATCTATGTCCAAATTTTCATCAAAATTCAATGAATGTCTCTTTAGATATCAATGGGACAGTTATGGAACAGCTAACAATTAGCTTATTATCATGCAAATTAGGTTAATTATATGCATGGATTGTTACCCAAAACTAATCAAATCTGCACATTAGTTTAGAGCATCTATGTACCAAGATTCATCAAAATCCAATGAATGGCTCTTTAGATATCAGTGGCACAGTCATGGAACAGTTAAAAATTAGCTAATTATCATGCCAATTAGGTAATTAATATGCATAGATTTCAACCAAAACCTAATCAAATCTGTGCGTTAGCCCAAAACATATATGCACCAAGTTTCATTAATAACTAACATACGGTTCTTGAGATATCAGTGGAAAAGACGGACACACACACACATACACACACGGTAACTGCAAAGACTCTCATTGTGTGCTTCGCACACGGGAGTCAAAAATGGCGGTGTCTGCTGTGAGCCTCGCTTTCACATTAGCTCAAGACTCTCTAAGTCAACTGATTTCAATAGCAAAGCCGAGTAGCTGACGTTCGGCTCTTTGTTTACGGGTGGGCCACCAAAAAATAAATTCTCGCCAGTCGCTGTCTGTTTCGGACCGATTTCTCGCTATCCGCGCATGTTCACAAGCCCAAATACCTCTCAATAGACTCTATATAGTGAGTTCTAACAAAATTACGAAGGCTGAATGCCACTTCAGTCCCTGATAAAACCATTGTGTACGATTCCTTTGTCTCGTGTGATAGACGACGCGGTGAATGCCCACTGAACTATCAAATGCACAGTGCGCAGTTGTGGTTGAAGGTTATTACTCATGGGTATTCAGTTCCTTTTTATGTTTTACGAAATGTCAATATTGCTCCGAGAAGTGTAAAAATCGGATTATTTTAGGGTAAGTTATGACAATTTAACCTGTTTTTCAGACCACGAGAATGATTCCAAGTTTTATAGTCCTACCGAATTTGTTAAGTTCTAAAGAAAGCTTGATTTCATGAATCGCCAGGATGTCACACGGCGACCATTTTGAAAACGCCATTTCAATCACCCGTGTTTTAACAACATTCACCTTCTCGTAATCTCCATAGCAAAGCATCGTTATCCGTTTCGTTAAGAGATTTGAGTTTAGAGAACGTGTATTTACAAGCAAGATTTAGTTCAAAATAAAGCTTAAGATGTGTTAATTCCGACTGGCTTTGTTTTCAGTGCACAATGTCCAAATTTGAAAATGCTGTTTTAATTTCGCCTATTTTCACCGTATCGAAGACACAGGGACTATAACATGTCCATGCTATAACATAAAACCCGACATTGGGTAGTAACCAGTTACAATAAACAGATATTGAGTCACATTACCCGTTCATTCAATCTCCCTGCTGATACCAAATAAAATGGGTACACTGGAAATGGTGACAGTTTCATCAATCATCTCCGTTGACTCGGGGAGGTGTATTGGCATGAGTGCCGGGCGTTTAAGCCACCTGTATGTCTTAGACCTTGACGTTTTGATCGCTGCTGCTATTCTTCAAGGTGGACGTTTTGGCCGCGGGTTAATACAAGCGTTTTGATTATGTTTGCATCTTCTCCCGGTGAAGTCAGTTAATTATGGTCATAACAATTCCCTGTTGAACTTTTGGAATAAACTAGACTGCAAATATCATATGTACATCAAATTTATTTTCTGCAAGTATTATAAATTTCAATACTTGCCAAGCTTCTTGTTTGAATAGCAAATCTTAAATTTTGAATTATTTTTTAATCTGCATCCAATACTTTTAGCACACGGAAGTTCTTTATACATCAAGTAGCTATTTTTTTCTTGCCACAACTGTTTATATGTATTTATCTGTTTATGTTTGACAGTTGATTTTACTTACTAGTACATTCTATTTTGTTTTTACCATACCAAAGTCATTTGAGTTTTTTTCTGTATTTTCCATCCAATTTGATTTGATTTTAATTGACTCAGTTAAGGCATTCTTCGGAAATTCACTTATTCTAAACCAATATTGTATTTGCTTAGTTGTAATTATAATGTTATAGTTATATTATTATATTAATTTATAATTCGCAATTGGGAAACGTTCCAATTCCCCTTTAATTGCAATTTGGAGAGTTATTTCACACAAATATGCATACGCTTGTTCAAGTGAATTGGTATATTTGCTAATCTCGTCTGCCCAATAAGAATGGAAGCGTTCCCCCCCTAAATAGTTCAAAGCCCGTGAATGACCGTTTTTCTTTAATATCAGGATTTTTAATATGTCACTAGAACCCTAATTACCTATGTTGCGTTAAATTATATCTCTGTAGACATAATGGTGGACACACGAATCAACAACACTCTGTGCAATCCTGGCTTATTTGTGGACACTTGGGACAGAATATACCAATTTTCAGGGCAAAATGAACAAGTCATGTTTTGCTTAGGTAAGTATTTTTTGAAAGTTTATTAGAAATGACGATCTTGTCTATTTAAGAATGTACTAACTCCATGGAGATAACCAAAGGACGTCCTATTTGATGCGATTTAAAACTATCGGGATATTGCCATATTTGTAATGTACAGTTTTACATATTACGACTATATTTGGGTATTGATGGGAAATTGATGTCATAACTTTTTCATTATGTCTTTTTAAGGGTCGTGGCTGGTGACTTTTGTAACATATTGGGTGGTTAATATATCACTACTGTGCATGGATTTAACGCGTAAACCCGAATTTCTTTACCAGTATAAAATTCAAATGGATAAGCCGGTAAGTTTGTGGCTGTCTATCGCACGCATTCGATCAGATCCAAAAAACTGCGAGAAGGTCACTATTAAGTATACATTGCGACTTAATCCGCTACAAAGTTGCGACTTCTCTTGCGTTCGCTGTGATAAGAGAGTATTTGTGACCGTTGCGTAAATGGCTTACATAAACTGATATGCGTTTCTTTGTAATAGCATGAAACGACTTCCAACGAATATATCTCAGGGAATATTGCTTGGAATCGAATGAAACGAAAACGAACCAATACAGAAAATCATTGTCTATCGATACACACTGAATACGAATGAAAAATAACAATTAGAATTAAACAACAACAGATATGAATAAATCAAGAAACACACGTGGATAAGCATCCACGATAAAGTTCATTTTCATTTTAGACGCTGTGATAGTTTTTCGAATTCTTGTTTCAAATCCCCCATTGTCTATTTCATTATGGTATACGATTCATGTAAATCTGTAATCTAATGTACTTTTTTTTGGTCTCGTGGGGTTTATACTATTTTAACCACAACTGTTAGGTTTGGAATTGTAAATTTATGAGAACCCATATGTCAGCATCCTTTATTTTATGTTGTTGTCATATTACCTCAACCCTGAAGTGTGCATGGAATCATGGGAAGAAACTGTGTGCATTGCCGTGTGATAACTGTCATTAAGGTGATTGACAGGTCATATATGTTTTCACCTATGGTAGGACAGTTGGAATCTACCAGGTGTGCTGTTATTTGAATAACAACAGATGTTTATGATCTACTGAGTTGTCTACGAACCACAACTGCTAGCAAGATCACATTCTGATTGGCTCATGTGGGAACCCAGGTGGTGTCACTGAATCTGGGCCATTTATGTCTATAAATTAGACAGACTGTGGACAGTTGGGGTCCATCATTTCTGCTGAGTATCGTGTGTGTAGCTCCTGCGATATTGTGAGACAGGTCATTCAAGCTTCAATCTTCATTCTGTGAGACTTGTATAAACTTGCCCTCTAGAATAACAGCGTTCCTCTGCAAGCAAGACTCCTGTATTTCTTTGTTGTTGTGTTGCAGAAGCTATTGACTGTCGTCCATTTCTCACCCTGAGACCGTGGGTTATCACCAATGCACACTCCCCTAAGCAATCCCCCATTTTAGTGAATTTATTCATTGTATTTTTTATGTAATTATTTTGAGAGGTATTACAGCCAGGAGCTTTAACTTGATATTAGTGTCTGCGTGTATTCCATTTACAGTGCTATTGCCTTGTCTACCCTGTGCTAGCAGTGAGTTCTGTGGGTAGCCCTATTGTTAGCGATAAACTGGCCTTACATTGTGACACCATACGTTTAACGACTTATACCACAAAATATCAATAACATTACGATTTTAAAATAAACATTGCTTCTTTGCAAAAACTACTAATTAGCGAACATAAGCAAAAAACATAAGCAAAAAACTAACGAGCATACGAGAGTATGGAGTATCTAGCAGGGATGCATATCAATGCTTTGTTTGTGTCATAAAAGGCGACTAAGGAATTATTTATTCTGGCTGTGTCGCTTTATTGGACTTTGTTGTACACTTTGTCGACTCGGACCAACACACTCCGACAAGGTGAGTGTCTGATAAACAGTACGTAAGGTTATCAAGTGGGATGTAAATTATCATAGTAAAATAGCACATGTATCACTTTCAATCGAAAAAAATGACACGTGAAATGCCTGTTCATGATTCATACACATTTTTGTACCGTTATTCTGTACAAATGTGTTTTTTTATTATTTTGATTGCAGCGAAAAAAAGGGTAAAAACATAAGAGACTCAATACCCCCCCCCCCCGCAGAAAGTATGATGTGATGTCCTACAATCACCATACCCTGTAAACTTACGAGGGGCATTCAATAAGTAATGCTCCTGACCCATTTCCCATAGCAAGAGATTTATGAAACTTGGCACAGTTGTTAGTCTTTCTCTACATAGAAAAAAAAAACAACTTCATGGTTGGGAAAATATGAAAGTCAGAGGGTGCAAGGTCGGGAGAGTAAGGAGATGGGGGAGGATTTCATAGCCACACGCCCGTGCTTCTGATCTTGCGACAAGCGAGTTGTGGACGGAGCGTTGTCCTGCAAGAGGAGGATACCTTTGCTGATCTTGCCTCGCCTCTTTATTTTCATAGGATTTGAGCGGTTCCCCTTTAATTTCATCAAAAGTAAAGTGTAATAGGCTCCTGTAATTGTGGTACATTTTGCCAGGAAATCTTTCATCAATACTGCGTTCTGGTCCCAGAAGACTGTGAGCATGACCTTGCCAGCGGAGGGCTGCACCCTTGCCTTCTTTGTAGGTGGTGATTCCGAGTGCTTCCACTGCATTGACTGGGCTTTGGTCTCTGGATCATAGTGATGGACCCAAGTTTCATCCTGTGTAATCAGTCTTATGAAAAACTTTGACTAATCTTCTTGGCACATCTCCAAATTCATCCTTGAGCACTCGACGCGTTCTTGCTTCTGGAAAGATGTGAGCAACCTGGGAATCCATCTGGCAGACACCTTATGCATATGCAAATGATCATGAATGATAGTTTCCACAGACCCTATGCTAATCTTGACCTCTTTGGCTATGTGGCGACCATTAATGCGTTGATCTTCCAAAATGGCTGCCTCAACTTGACTGACAGATGCCTCACCAATGGCAGAAGAGAGACGGCCAGGTCTGGGAGCTGTTTCCACAGACCTCCGGCCATGTTTGAATTCACGATGCCAGCGTTTCACAAGTGGGTCAGGGACATTACTTATTGAACGCCCTTCGTAGATAAACCGCCTAAAGGCGCGGGGAAACGAAAACATTTTCATTTGTTATTATGTTATTAGTTTACATGTGTAATTGTTCATTTTACAAACTGTAAAACAGCT